TTGAAAAGGTTCTTTACACTCATCCAACTCATTTACAAAACGGTTCCTCAATGAACCATCTACTAAAAGGCAGAGGTAGTTTACATGTGCTTCAGTACATTTTTTTATTCATTTGTACTTTCCTGAGTATTTTAAATACATACATATAATATATATATATATATATATGCAACTGATCTAATCAGCCAATCGTGTGGCAGCAGTGCAGTGAAGTGCACAAAATCATGCCGAAATGGGAGAGCAGCTTCAGGTAATGCTCACATCAACCATCAGAATGTGTCAGGGGAAATGTAATCTCAGTGATTTTGACCGAGACATGACTGCTGGCACCTCATGGGCTGGTTTGAGCATTTTTTATAATTGCTGATCTCCTGGAACTGTACAATTGTAGTGAGAAGAAAAGCATTTCAGAATGCATAACATGTTGAACCTTAGGGCGGATGAGCTACAACAGCAGAAGACCACATCAGGTTCCACTTCTGTAGGCTGGTGGAGGTGTTGTAATGGTGTGTGGAATGTTTTCTTGGCACACTTCGGGCTCGTTAATACCAATCATCGCTTGATTGCCACAGCCTATTTGAGTATTGTTGCTGCTAATCATGTGCATCCCTTCTTGGCTATATTTACCCATCTATCATAATACTTCCAGTATGTCACAAAGCAAAAGTCATCTTAAACTGGTTTCATGAACATGACGATGAGTTCTTCAGTGACCCTTCCAGTCACTGGATCTGAATCTGATTGAACACCTTTGGGATGTGGTAGAATGGGAGATTTGCAGCATGAAAGTGCATCTGACCTGCAGGAACTGCATGATGCAAACATGTGCACATGAATGAGAATCTCAAAGGAATGTTTGCAATATTTTGTGGAAACCATGCCACAAAAAAATTGATGCTGTCTTAAGAGCAAAGGGAGGCCCTATACAGCATTAGTACAGTGTTCCTAATAAAGTGCTTAGTGAGTGTATCTTAATTAGAAAAGTTACTAATTATTTGTTGTTTAATGTCATTGTTACAATGGCGACAGTATCTGTAGTGCATTGCAATTGGTCAGACCTCCTATGTTTGAGGTCTATCATTTTATTTCAGGTTTTGCTGCATATATATATATATATATATATATATAGAGAGAGAGAGAGAGAGAGAGAGAGAGAGAGAGAGAGAGAGAGAGAGATTTGGAGCTGGTACTTTCATACTTTGATTGAAGTTGGAAAGGTACTTTAAGTAAACCAAAAGTGGTTCTTCTATAGCATCTTACCAAAAACCCTTTCTGACACCTTTACCTTCAAGAGGGTCTGTTATTGAGAGTCAGAAGTCTCCTGCTACCGTGGCAGGGCTGGCTTTTTTCAGCTCTCTCGCTCTCTTCCCAGTGGCAGGCAGGCTGCTCTTTCTCCCCAGGCTGGCATTCAGACACGGCCACAGCTGCAGCAGGACATATGCACACTGAGGCAGCAAATTATGAAAATGTGGCTGTGTGTCCTCAATGGCGCTGCGCTTTCTTAATGTGGCACAAAATTAGGACCTGAGGGGTGAGAGAGAGGAGCCCGTTTAATTGGAAAAACTGCTCTGGGCCTACACACACACAGACACATACGCAAACACACACACAGGGAGTAACTCATCGCACGAAAGCTGAGATATCATCTCTTACCCACCAGCAGTGCAGTCTCTTCTATAAGGTACCTCTGCCAAGGCCTGGAGGCATTCATAAAGGTGTCTAATGTGCAAGTTTACCCTCAATTATTTAAACAGCCCTATACAGAGATCACATAATGGGGGCATTCTGCCTCTTTGAGAGTCAAAGAAGATCTCCTCTAAAGTTGCTTTTGATACTTCAAATAAATATCATAGCCGTCTTATCACAGAAAAGCACGTTGCGAACATCTGTTAAACTGCATGTTTGAAAACGTGCACAGCAATGCAATTAAATTCGTCATGTTCCATTCGCTCAGACACTAGCAAGCAGGTGCACTGGGGCACAGGCACACGCACACACACATATACACACATGCTCACACCTGTACACAATTCATCAAAAGGAGGCAGTCCATTGTCTAAAGCCCCCTCGGCCACTGAATGCCATTCATTCGCTCACATTCCTTCCTGTGCCCTGCAGTGCTATGGTGTGGCCTCATTCCTATCAGGAGTGTCACAGACCCCAGGCCCAGTGCAGCCATGGCCAGCGCACAGCATCCCCACTGTTAACCCCCCACACCATCACCACCACCACCAAACCTTTTCCTTCCCTCCCTCACCCTCTGCTTGCTCACTCCGGCCTGCCCAGTGCTGCTATGTGGGTCCCGGGCCAGGGATTAAGCAAATGGTTCAAGAATCATTGCAGGGAAACGGAGACAGCTCCCAATCCCACTTCTCCCTAATCCGCACTATATCTACCTCCATTGTTCGAAGCTTTAATAAAGCAAGGGATAGACGAAGAGGTGGAGGATGGTGGTGGTACTGTGGAGGCCAGCAAGAGTCAGCCTAACAAGGGGTAAGAGTGTAAACATGTATATTACAGCTTTTGAACTTCATCTTGCCCACTGTTTTTTAATTATTATTAACAACATGGGACTCACATTTGTTTCTCTGGAACAAGACATTTTTTAGGGGAGTGAATCCCTGACCTTGATTCAATTAGCTTATGATTTTTTCAGAATTTGATGCATCATGAAATCTCAAAGTTCACCGTGATTCAGTTCAATCTTTTTTTATGTATACGATTCAGAATTATTTTTACACTAAAAATACACTAAATTCACAAATTTACAGTGAATTCTCAGTAACTAAAAAACTATTCACACATGGATACAGACAATAAAAACAATACCTTGAGCTTTTTTGAGGGGATTTTGGCATTTGAAAACAGTCCAAAAAAATGTTCGCAAACTGCACTGGATATAGATATAATCAACCAAAAGGGATTCAAACAACAGATCACATGACTTCAGTCAGTCTTCAGTTCGTGCTCCTTGCCCCCATCACCCCCTGTTCATCTTGCCCAGCTCTGTGGTATAACATACAAATCCATAGCCTCCAAGCCAGGCTTCTCTACACACACACACATACACAGTAATCTGCAACAGTGGCCAAAGTTTCATTTGCACCCCCTTCATAATATGCTGCTGGTACAGCGGCCAGCTCAGTGCTTTCCTTTTCTCCCCCTCTCTTCCCTCCTTCCCTCCTACCCTCTCCCCCCAGTCAGAGGAAGGAGAGGAGATAGGCCCTGCAGCTAAAGCCCTCTTTTCAGCACGCCGCTGGCGGGGTCTATCGGCGAGACGCAGCGAGCGGAGGTGTCGCTTCTGCTCTGGCATTTCGGACAGTATCTACTCCTCTCCGGGCGCAGGGAGAGAAAGAAAAACAGAAGGGGGTATTATCAGGGAGGGATGAGAGCAGCGAAGGCATTTTTGTGTTTTTATTCCCCTCCTAAGCCCCGGGCTTTGCTCCCAATCCGATTGGTCGATACAGCCAGGGATGTAAATGAAATGCAAAGAGGAATAAGGCTGGCTTCCCATCTTCCTCTGTGTGTGTGTGCCTGTTCCACTGCTCCTCTCTCACTCTCTCTTTTGGCTCTTGCTCAGGGTTTGCAATAAAGGGGCTGGCTCACCTTTCTCACCTTTTCTCTGCTCTTTGAGCATTTGTTTCACAGTCGCATATTTTTAATAATGTCTATCCTTTAGTCCACATCCTTCCTGACTGATTTGTTTATCCTGTCCCATTCTGCGCCTGGTTCTAGCTCTGTGCCCTCTCCTTTCCTTCTCTCTTACTTTCTCTCTCTCTCTTCACCACCCCCCCACCTCCTGCTGGCTGGGCTCTCCACTCTTATCTGCTCAGGCGGCCCACATTCCAGTGTTGCCGTGGCGCCCTGCCTGCATCCACGGTCACGGCGATTCCATGGGTTCACACAATCCCTCAGATGAGAGAGAGCGGCTGAGAGAGGGACAGAGAGAAACAGAGCGACAGTCAGCAGAGAAAGAGAGAGAGAAACAGAGACAGAGAAACAGACGAGTCAGGAAGACAGAAACGAAAAGCAAAATTTTGAGAGATCATTTTTCAAAAACACCCTACACAGGGCATCAGCACTTTTGCACCTTCTTCACTCTCCTTCTGCTCAGTGTACCAACAGCAGATATTCCTTATGCGACATCAAAGCTAGAAGGAAAACATATAGCCTGTAAATCATAATGCTTAAAGTACTACTGAAACAGAAACGTGTGGGGCCACAAGTGTACGCATGTAAGCATGTGTGTGTAGGGGGCGGGAGGTCCTGTCGCATGCATGGTACCTCTAAAAGGGTCTCTGGCAATCTGACATACTGTATTCTCAGCTCAATCCATCAGGGATTACCAGCTTGGACCGTCATCTTAACAAATAGATAGATTTATGAATATAAAAATAAATATAAACAGGCTCATCAAATACATTAGCGTTTGGAGTTCAAAGGAGCTGGGAGTGCACTGAGCAGCAGAGGGGGTGGAGACAGATAGAGGGGGGGTAGAGAAAAGGATGGGGCCATTTTAAGAGGCTGCCCCAGATTAACAGGCCATTCTTAATCTCTTATGGCTGCTCCCAAATTGGGTTCCCCTCCGATCTCAATCCCAGACTGCCATGCTCCTAATATGGGAGCCAGAGACACATGACAGCAGGAGGGCTAAAGGATAATTATGAGTGAGTAAGAGAGAGGCAGACAGAAAATGAGAGAGAGAAAGAGAGAAAGAGAGTGATGTCTGCCTATCAGCAGAGAGGATACTAATATAATATTAACATTCAAACAATTCACAGTGTTATTTCTACCAGCTTCACCCAACAGTTGCTCCTCACACTTCTCAGACCAAGATGTCACCTGAAGAAACACTGCCCAGCATCTCAGACAATAGTGTTGTGCTGTATCAAAACATTTAGTCTGTCAGCTCAAAAACAATTACTGTGCTTTTACATTATCATTGTGAATATTCAAATGTTGCCAAAACAACCACTCATACAGGAGCCCAAGACAAGATACAGTATTTAGAAAATTTTATATACCCCATAAAATCAATGTAAACAAAAGATCAGAATGGCTAGACAATTCCAGAGTGAAACTGTAAGGCCTTCATCAATTCCTAACTGACAGTTTTTACCACAGCCAACTAAAAAACGAATGGCCATTTTGCTCAGTTTTTCAAAGACATGCTGTAGCTTACACAATCATCCTCTATATTCAGCACTTAAGCACACCACAGTACCCTGTACAGTACTGAACAGGACCCTACACCACCACTGAGCAGTAATGTCCATCACTCTGCTTCACATCAACAGTGCATGATTTGACCTCTGTGCTTACTACACATTATCATACCTGCATCAGCACTTAGCACTCTTAGAATTCCAGTCTCTGTCATCCTTTTCCCATCTTGATGGCTGTTTAAATCTCTCTCTGAGCAGACAGCTACCTAGAGTAGGTATTTCTTGGTCCTCCCAAGTTTTTCACAATGGTTTTGTAGAGATCTAGTGTTTCTGCCTTTGAGAGTCTCTGAGCCTCTCTCTTCCTTTGCGGAGATGCGCGATGGCTGAGCGGATGGCCTGGCACTGTGGGTCCGTGGGTTCTCTCTGAAGATAGCGGCTGAAGTGGTGGATACTGCGGCTCAGGAGAGAGTCTGGCTCATGGTTGCCGCCCCCAGAGCGGAGCAACCTCTCTGCAGCAAGAGCCAGGTTCTTATCCCAATTGGATGGATAGTCAGGTTGGGCATCCACAATTTGGCAGTACAGCTGTCAATCAACACAGTAAAATAGATAAAATGTAACAATGAAACAATCCTACAAATAAATTTAGATTTCATGCAAAAGCTAATCCAGCAGTGAGGAGGGCTACTAAATACCAATACTGCCATACCAAAACTTCGTCAATGTGTAGCCGGCAGCCACGAGTGTTGTGCTGAAATTCGACTGCCTGTGGCATTCATGTACGTCACATAGGCATACAGACACTACAGAGACTGCTCACGATTGAACTGAACTAAAGATATGTGCATGCTAAGAGGAGCTGGGGAGTTTTTGGCACAACACCGCAGGTTGAGAGATGTTTTGGGCATGTATTTATGGACAAGATGCAGGTGACTATTGACTTCTACTGTTTGGGTGCCTCATAGCTCCAGCACCTAAACTACAGAAGCAAGATTTAAACACCAAACATGTCTTGGCTGACCAACTAAATAAATTGTAAATTAATTTTTATGCAGAACCATTCCTTTAACTGTCATATAATGAGAAAAATACATGTGCTGCTTCAACAACCAACCAACACTCATAATTTCTAATCATAACCGAAAAGAACTGGATAGGTCCTTCAAAGCAAATTCTTAAAACGCTACCCTAGCTAAAACCTCCACATCCACTACTATCTCATACTCACATTGTAAGAGAGGTCATAGAGACGAGCCTGGACCCCTCCCTCCATCCTCTCAGCAAGGTCAAAGAGGAAGAATGCCATTTTCATCCTATAACACAAGCAGAGAAATGACATCCTGGTTCCAGTAGAAATGGGATTTTAATTCTATGAACACAGCACAAGGTAAGATCAAGTGCAGTAAGAAGTAGCAGGCTTGCTGGAAGTAAAGTGGACTATATTACCTGGCCTGCCACATTTCCTCATTGGCCACTCTTTCCCATGAGCCAGGGGGAAAGCTGTGATGGGGGAAGAACACAAAAATCTACAGATATATTTCACTCAGACTACCTATGTGACCACTGTAGTTAATACTATGTGAATGGTAGTAGGTAGGATTTTTGGCTTGTAATCCATTCTACTTAACACAGTACATCCTTTTGTACAATATCAGTTCTATTAGTTTATTGTGGCTTGGTATGGGAGATGAAATAGACAACACAAAATACAACCGTAGCCTTGTCATTTAGAAAAATACATCATGTTTCAAGAATAAATACGGCACTAAACATGCTGACGGTATCAACTACTCGTGTTCAATTTTCTGTTGGCATGCAGGCCTGAAAAAACAGACAGCAATCCTGAAAATCATATTCTTAGCATCCTAAAAACATGCGACAGCTGATTTTCAGCAGACTGCAATCTTCAGAAGCACTCCCTGCACTAAATGACCCACATATTTCTGCATTTCTTTCGTTCCATTTCATTGCACATAACCGTGCGGCCTCTCCTTCAAAGGAATATTTTAGCATGTGACTTCCCCGCTAATATTTGGCTGGCGGGCAGGGATGGACACGCTTGTAGCGGCCGAGAGGAGAGTAATGTCACACCATTCAACCCCGATTAGCCTGCTGAATACCAGGCAGGCGCGCAGAGCCTCAGCACCCGAGACTAGAACTAATTTCACTTTATACACACGTATTGACACGCCGCAGTTTAGAAAGTCATTAGGGTGGGGTCAGTAGACTAATAACGACTTTGAAGCTGGAGACGGTGGCTGCCTTCCCAGCAGGATGCTGGTGCAGTGGTTAAGTGGACTTCAGTAGCTGTGGGGAGAGAGGACATTTAAACGGAAGTACATCAAGTGTAAAAAGGTAGGGAGGCGCACCTGGTAAAAACCCTGACGCTCAGTGCTGAAATGTGCTCTATGGCAGCGTTTCTCAGTCTCAGTATTCCCTTCTTCACTGCAGGCCTACTATCCAGTTACTAATATTAAGTAGTTAATCATTGTCACTTACTGGTAACTTCTAGTAGTAGAAGTTACCACTAAGTGATAATAGAAAATCCAGTAACGAACATGAATTGTGCAGTAAATACTACAGAACTACTATGTAAGGTACATAGTTATGTGAGCATACAGTTTAAAGGATTACACTTTTTTTTTTATTTCTCTTGGACTTTTGTTATAGTTCAGCATGCTTGCTAAGTCTGTCTAGCATGTTATATATTAAACATGCACTTTCACCAAGGCAAAGATCTTTGTATGTAAAACATGCCTGGTGAAATAAACTCACCTGTCGTGTGGCTGGCTCCAGTTGTATAGGTGTTGTGTGCGCTGCGCCCACTCCTCAGGGTGCAAGCGGCTGGTAACTGGCACCAGCTGCTCACACACCCCCCACGGCCAGCGGGAGAACGTCCTCTCCCAGCTTGGGTCCCCCTCCGATAGACCAATGCACACAAACACAGGCCTGCTACACACACAAACACACGACAGGTGAGCTACAGTTGTATGAGACAAAATGAGAGTTGTTATTTCAAATGATGCACAATTTACTCTCAGTGATTTCTCAAAAAAAAAAAAAAGTTCACTTGATACTCATTCATGATCAATGTTTTTTTACATAGATTATAGATGGCATTCTAACCAATTTTATATTCGATTATCAGTAAGAGATATATGTTCAGGCAAAATAATACATTTCAAAATGTTATATTATTTAGAACAACAGCCCAGGAAAATCACTAGGTTATCGTGTCAGATGAGCAATATAACGGATACAGTACAGTACAACACTGGATGGACAGTTTTCTTCAACAGTTTTTTTTTCTTCAGTGCCAATATGTTTGTCAGAGAAATATATTTGAACTGTTTCTGGATCTAATTTAGCGATATATATATATATGTATAAAGTGAGAGCGAGATGCGGAAAGGGAGAGAGGGAAAGATAAGTAATTATTAATAATTACATGCTAACTCCACTTCTCTTGTTCACCAGTTCTCAGTCCAATAACTGGAAACATTTTTTCTTTAACAGAAACAAGCAGTCAATTAGGGCTATCCCATTTGCAGAGTTTAACTGGATTCTTTTGCTGTTACAGTAAGTCTGTTACAGTTGACTGAGCAATTGAAGAAAAGTGGATAGAGTAATTGAAGAAATTTTGATTAAGCCAAATTGCCAGACAAAAAAAAAAAATCAAGCCAGCCAAATTTCCAAATTTAATAACCGGGAAGAGCTACGCATCAATAGTTTGGAAGCAAATTTGTTTTAAAGCCAAGAAACACCAGCTAATCAGCCAAGATGTACAAAAGTCATATTAACATAGGAAATCAGTATATGGCTCTCTGAAAAATACTGTCACTAATGCAAGCAGCCTAAAATCTCACCTGATATCAGATGTTCATCTTAAATCAATTTGCAAGGGCAAAAATGCAAATCGTAGCCAATTAAAGAATTATATCCAATGTTTAGGGTTGGTTTGCAAAAATCAAGTCTTGGGACTATTTTATATCACTGGGAATTCTTCACTTAAAATCCTTTTTAGTCCAAGACTAAACTGATCTGTATACAGAAAACTAGCCCTTGGTATGTGTTTCTGTCATTCATTTCTGTTTTCTCCTTTTTTTGCTGCATGCTCTCTCCAGTGCACTGGGCCCCTAGGGTAGCGCCTCTGGTGACTACTGCCCCCCACTCAAGGCTGCAGGGCTTTGGCAAGGAAATACTGCCGTCTGGTGGATGGAGGTAGTATAGAACCCAACTCTCTTCACATGCTTGCCTCTCTGTGTCGGGAGTTGTGCCACATAAGCAAATGCTATAAAATCACAGGCGATATAATCTATAACTAATTATTAGCTGATGCAATTTTAGCTGGAAGTTCTAATGGACAGCCATGGAGTTTTTAGCACAGTGGCATTAAAGGTGATACAACGAAAATGGTCATTCTAAAAGTGTGTTTGTGCAGTTTTAACTCACTGAGTGTTGTGCTGAAGGAACTGCTCAATATTGAAGCTATTTTTCTCTTCAGTGTTAACTGGGTCCCAAAGGTGCCCAGGGAACTTCACTCCAGGAAGATGTTGCTGAAGCTTAGACACATACCAGCTATATGTCATCATCTGAACGACAACAAAAAGAGCAAATTAAGACATTAAAATTAAAATGAATACAGACCTAACAAAAATATTAACAAACCCTCAGAAGCTGCTGCTATCTCTGGCTATAACAAATCCCTGTTGTAAACTTAAATTTATTATTTCTAACTTGTGGCTTATTGAAACTATTGAAACTTTTCTACTGAAAGTGTGAATACTAATCTTTCAATTGATGCTACATTTGTGTTTGTATGAAGAACAGAAGGTATTTTATTATGATTTGAATTTGATAAGAACCTGCCAGTACAGATGTAAACTGAAAGTGTAAACTATCGAAGTCATTATGCAATGAAAAAAATATGTTTAATATATAATGAATAGTAAAATGTACACATGCATAATAAAATATCAGCATCACTAACCTTTGTCTTAACTGTAATGTGCATTACACTTACCTCTTGGTCAACAAGGCTGAGGTCCGGCCTCAGGCCCTGGCAGTAGTGCAAGTAGCGAAGGGTGTTGCCGGGGAGATCACCCCGCGTCAGCACCAATGAGCCATTTGGGAACGAAAATACAACCTCACGAGCAAACTTTTCCACCACATCGTTCCTGCTCTGATCACACTCTCTGGAAAATATATACATGCAAATATTTAAAATTGTGCATGAATGCAGTTATTTACACTACTGGGGCAAATCCTGTCACTACTGGTATATTAAACATCAACATGCTTTGTTCAAAATTGTGAGAAAATTATAATTCATGCTACTTGGGAGATTTATTTACTTGGAAAAAGCTAACTTTACAAAAAATACAAAAAATATAAAATGTGATTTTATGTCTGTTGGCTTAACTATTTCCAAACCTACCAGCTTACCAGCAAATACCTACTTCATTAAGTTAAATCAGGAGTGCTGGAATCAAACAAATCCCTGAAATGGCCAGGGTGCACTGAATAGGAACCAAATCTGTGCTTCTAACCATCTCTGGTATCAACAACATTTTTTGAATATGAAAAAATTCTTGTTACTTTTTAAGGTTTGTCTACAAGCAAAAAACATTGTCCAAATGACTTGCACAGCACTGTATCTGCCCATGTGTGAGAACTAATTCATGATAACAACAATGATACATTTAACAGAGATAATGATGAAAAGGATGGGGATCCGTGACACTATCATGTCTCCAGCCGGTCTGCTGTCAGCTCCTTTCCCACGCGGAGCGGCACGTGGTGAGTGAAAGTCTCGCAGATGACACAGCGGAGCGCCTCGCTGCTCTAATCAGCCTCCGACAGGTGTGATGAGCGCCGACAAGTGCGTCAGTCCAGCGGGCTGATCAAAGCGGTGCGGTGCAGAGCGAGGCAGCCATGCACCAAACCACACGGCTCTAATCTACGAGACTGCCGCGGCCAGGACGCCTAATCAACCACAGAATGCCGCGGCTTTAATCTGCGTGACTAGCGTGGCCAGGATAACTAATCAAGTGGAGAGTCAAAGAGACGGAACGTTGCGAACCCGAGAGCTTTGAAGTCAGATGAAGCATGGACGTGCTGAGGAATGTGGTGAGTGACTACCATGGCCGAGGCTGAGTGGAAACCTCGCAACCCAACCGGTACAGAGTGGAGTGGAAATGGCAGCAAATATGGCATGAAAGAGTATTTGTAACAAGCTGAGGGACAATTCATATTCTGAAAGTTACTTGATAGTGTAGCTCCCTACAACAGCATCCCGATAACAAAGTCCTTTTTCGGCATATAAACTACGATCCTACTTGTTCACCGACATCTAGCCAAAAAAGTTTTCACAAAAACCTGTACTAGTCTGCATTGATGAACTTTTATTCTATTATATGGGAAAAGCCGGTAACACTTTATTTGGATAGTCCACTTTAGATGCTTTGTAGATACTTAACTTACTTTCAAGTTACATTCAACTAAATATCTACTAAACTGGCCATCATTTTCTTTAACTCTAAACCTGGCTCTAATCCTAACTCTAACCTTAAACTCAACCCAGAACCCAACCCTTACTCTGGTCCTAGCCCTAACTCTAACCCCAGCACTGTTTAGAATCAACATTTCAACAGACAGTTTGTTAACAATTTGAACATCTGTAAATGATCTATAGGGGACCATAGTGAAATATCCATATTAAGCGAGACCAAAACACCTTTACAGCTTTTGTCAATAACAGTCCTTTAAATGAACCAGTTATTAATTATTTACAACCCACTAATTTAACACACATGATTCAACTAATAAATCCTTCAGAAACATCTAAAAGTATGAATCAGACAGATACAAGTGCAGCAGTAAAACTCTCCAGGATAATCACCAGGAGAACAACTGCAGACATGTAATCGAAGACATTAGTTCTATGGTAATTAACTCATTACTCTCCATTTTCTCTTGGTGAAGTTGCATTTGGTTTGATATGGGGAAAAAACACACATGCTTGCTTACCTATAGTTTGAGTGGATCATTTGTGAGAGCAGTCCAGCAGTGAGAAGCCACGCCCCTGTGGTCCACACAGCACCCCAGCTCAGTCGCTTCTTCAACCAGCACACAGACCAGCTCAGCCCCACACCAGCCAGAACATAAACACCAGCGTCAGCCTGCAGCCAGAACCGCTCCACCTGCCCCCACAAACACCCACACAACACACAAACTGCAATTAGAGCACATTTCTGTGTTAAAAATCTGATAACAATGTCTGTGTGAAACAACAAATGGATTGTGTTAAAATTAACATAAAATGTGTTGTCCTTAACTGGACTGTCTGCTTAGAGAGTATAGGCTTTTTACACTCCCAGCTAGGGCTAAACAATTTGAGAAAGATATGTACTTGCAATTCTTTTGGACCAATTTTGTGATTGTTTTCTAGAAATTAAGTATTTGTTGCCAAGAAGACCAGCACATGTATTTTTTTGGACTTAAGGTTTGAATGTGCTTATATGCATTGTGCCAGACTGCCAGTTCACGAGCTCTGAGTTATTAGGTTAAATTTCCCCTCTTAAAAACTGTTAAGACAATGTTAATAATATAGCATATAATTAATGTTGCTGCTCTTGCGTTTTGAAAATTGCTCTGTTTTAAATCATGATTTTGACGTTAAAAACAATGAATCATTTAGCTTTACTTTCAGCTCACGCATAACTGAAACTAGGCATTGGTTCATTGTAGAAGCAGTTTGAAACAGACACTCACTACTCCCAGCAGCAGGGGCTTCTCAATGTCCAGGTTGGCTCTCCAGGCAAAGAACACAGAATAGAGACTCACCATAGCAGCAAGCAGCAACACAAAGGCACAGTGCCTCCTGGGGGTTGAATACAAGCAGTAAACAAAGGGGTTACTACCCTATAAATGACATGCGTGTTTTCATGTGACATCAAATTCTCTGTATCCTTTAATGGTGATGGTTTCTTCGAACCCAGAACAAGCTTTAAATAGAACACAAAATCCAGCTGTATCAATCTGGTAACAAACGTGTTTAACAAGATCTTATCCTTTTTCTACATGGTGACTGTGATAGGTAGACTTGTCCAATGAAACCTACCTTTTCAATGAAGCATGCAGCAGACCAATCAGTGCTAATAATAACACAGGAACAGAGAGATCTGCCACACAGTGATTCAACTGAGCCCTGAAAAATAGCAGAAGCGCAGTTATTAATATGCTCATTCCTCATTCACTCCATGGGTCCATATGTGTTACAAAATACAACAAATATATATATATATATATATATATATATATGAATATATATATATAATATTTTATATGAATATATATATATATATATATATATATACACATAATCTTTTTTTTTATATATTGTACAGAAGTCAGAGACCCCCTTAATTTATTTAATTTCCAGAGAAAACAGCCATTAAGTCCAACTAAATCTTTTTTTCAGTATATTTTTCTGAGATGATTAGATAGAAGATAATGCACTTGCATAAAGAAGGAGAAGAACACATGAAAATATGTTCAAAACAATATTAAAAGATAGGTCTCCTAACAAGACCTGGTAGACCATCAAAACTGTATCTGTCAGATAAACAACACTTACAGCTTTAATCTTTGAGAGACAGTAGAAAAAACCTCCACTCTTGATTCAGAACTGACAAATCCACAGGTGTTTCTGTCCATCTTTCCACTACGAGAAGACAATTCAACGCTATGAATCTCAAAGTGTAGCTGTGTAGCTGACAAGAAGCCAACCCTGATGCTGTTCTCAAAATAATGGACTTGCTGTCCCAGAGTCCCATCACTTAATGTGTTTGGGATTAACTTTGGATTGTAAGGAGCAGAAAATCAAACCAACTTCCAAGACTGAACTTTGGAGATTTGAAAAAATATCTATGCAGATGTTTCTTTAAAAAAAAGTCCTGGTGCTGCAAAATGAATAATTTGTACTTAATGGCCATTTTGACTTGAAATTAAATAAGTGAATGGTGCTCTCTGACTTTTGCATATTACTGTAAGTAGTCGCCCTTTAACTGTTTTTGTAATTTTTGGGAGGTCAACACAAGCATATATTCAAATACTTCATGTGATTTTTCTTTCTAGCTGTCTCCAGTCACCAGTCAATGGGTAAATTTCCCTGGTCCAAGAGATAGCACCCTGCCATACGCCTTAATACCGTCTCTATTCCTGACAGCTTATTTAGGCACTGTGAGAGCAAGCATGTGAAAGCGTGTGTCTGTGTGTGTGTGACTGAGAGACTGCGTCAGCTTCTCGTGGCAGGTTTACACGCTGTGTGTGACGTGCTTGTCGCGTTCTCTCCCTTGCATGGCTGTCCATCAAATTGTGTGGTAAGCAGCAGTGGGGGGGCGATGGGAAATAGGGGTGGAGAAGTGGTGGTAGTAGGTTGACTTGAGATGAGAGAAAGAGAGAGATAGAGTGAGAGAGAGGAAAGCACCCAAACACATGATGAGGGAGGGCCATGGAGCAGCTCCAGATCTGCTGGTATATTGCACTGGCTGTCATCAGAGTAGCCTGTCACGCTCACAATGCCTGCTATCATTTCAAAAGCGAGTGCAGAAAAACACTGCAGCCAGATTTGGCCCGCTAAGCATGTGCCATGCAGCTCTGATAGAGAGGTGAGGAAACTAGAAGAACAAAGAATGCATGCTGGGTGGCTTCTCTCGGCTCTCTATCTGTTGACTGTGGGGAGAAAAGTGTGGATATGTCTCAAAAATATCTTTGTTTCTGACCGTGTAGCACCAAATATGGTCATGCTAAGAACAGTTGGTATACTCACTGAAGCATTTTCCCCATGTTAACTTTTCCCTCTGATTTTGCCTGTGGTCAAGAAAAACACACAGTATTTAAGAGCAGGCAAAGTCAACATATTCTATATAGTCTTCAACTTCAGCTAGGAGTGTTCAGCTTCCATTTGTGGGTGTGGGAGAGAAGCGGGGGGAAATATATTGAGAATGTACACTCACAGTGAAGAGAAACACAGTATTCAGAAACTTTGGTTTTTGTTGTTTAATATACTTTCAGTACATCTCCTTCAAATTTCCACATATATTGTCTTTGGACTTTGTACTTATAAATAAGAACAAAGAAGTATGTACTCATAAGTATAAAGAAAGATATGTTTAAAAAAAAAATGATAGGGAAAAAGTATTCAGACACCACAAATTAAAAACATTAGTGCTTTGTCACAAATCCGTTGGTAATTACAGCTTCAATACATGTATGGTAAGAAGTAATTAGCTTTTTGCAGCATTGTGGTTCAATTTTTCGAGAACAACTTCTTAGAAATCAGTCTTGAGTTATTTTGGTTGTGTGTTTGGGGTTGTTGTCTTGTTGAAGCATCCATCTTCTCACGAGATTCAGTTTCTTGGCCGATAAGATTAAATTCTCCTCTGATATGTCTCAGCACATTGCTCCATTCATGTTTCCTTTGATGATGTGTAATGTCTCAGTACCATTTACAGAAAAGTAGCCCCACATCACTGCTTATTGTTCTCTGTGTAACTGTTGCTCCTACTGCTTTCAGCTCATCCTGCAACTCTACTGGAGTGACTGTTGGTGTCTCTTCTTCCTCATCATTAGATTTCACATAATTGAAATCATGTGTAGCGCACCTGTCTGGGTACAGTTTTGCATATTATCCAATCAACTTTACTGACAGGGACGCTATGGCTCTGTAGCTTTTTCCACTCAAGAGTTGTTTAATATTGTTGTCCCTGAATACTTCCCTATTAGTTTCATTTTCTTAAACATATCTTTGTTTAGGCTTTGTTTTTTTGTTCTCATTTATAAGTACAAAAGTCAAAAGGCATTATGTATGTAAATTTAATGGGGATATATGCCCTGGAAGTATATTATTTAACACAAACAAAAGTGTCTCAGTACTTGTTTGCTCTCACTTTACATGGTACCAGTCAAAATTTGGACAGACCTTGAGGACACAATTGGGCACAAATCGGACAAATTCTCCAAGACTTAAGCTTATGCTTAAATGCTTAAAATTTGGAAAATAGTAAAAATAAGGAAAACCTTTTAATGAGTACACATGTCCAAACTTTTGGCTGGTACTGTACACACACACAGAGGCACACACACACAGATGTGTACATTTGTAAGAGGGAGAACGTGTACCAGGCTAAAGGTGCCGTACTCAGCCCTCAGCAGGTGTGTGATCAGGCCGCTTAAAGATGTCTGGTCCCCCCAGCTCCAGCGGGCTGTGTTCAGGTATGAGGAGATGGGCAGGTAGAGGTAGGGCAGAAATCCAGCCAGGAAACACAGGCCCAGAGAAAATAAAACCGAAAAACACAAGCCCTGAAAAAACAACATTACTGAAATAATCAAGCCTTGCAACGAGTAAAATACTCATTTAATGATAAAATTTAAATATTAAAATGTAAATGTAACACTGTTTAAAAATCTCTATGAACACATTATTAGCACACAAACACATAGGAACAGCACTCAGCCCTGGATGGGTTGTGTGCCCTCCCCTGGAGCAATTTCCTTAAAAACACTGCAGATTGGCAGTGTGTCCAGTAATCTACAGAGCAGCCTGCCAGCTCCTAAACACTTTCAGCAATCACAGCAGAGTGGGAGCTATTCCTGTCCAATAGAGTGCTTAACTGGTTTGCAAAGCAATTTAATTTCAAGGCTGTCCAAGCTGAGCACAAGGGCTAAGCAATTAAATACATTTCCCTGTGTTGGGCAATTTTCTCTCTAATTTTTGTTAAAAGACGGGACATTGCATGCATAATTATGTTTCCATATAGAAGCATAAAATAATATTAAAATACGGGTTAGCAGCAGACCATGCAGTCTGTGACATTAAATGAACACTACACTTCACACACACACACACACACCTCTGTGCTGAAATATGACTGTTTCTCAATACTCACATTGTGAGAGTAGAGCTGGAGCAGCACCCAGGGAATGATGATGAGCACATAGATGACCAAAGTGTGCTGGTTACACAAACTGAGTCCACAGCACAGCGCCCCCCACAGAGCAAACTGGGGACAGGCAGAAGAAGAAGATAAGATGCCTTCGGAAAAGATTAATGATGCATCAAACTGAAACAAAACACATATTTTGGAAACAAAGCGAACACAAACATCGCATTGATGAGTTATAATTGCTCCTATGAGCGAGTCAGATCAGTTGGCTCAGCTCACCAATAGCAACTGGCTCTTAGAGCTACCAAGAGTCAGACCTTTGTACTCATGTAAGAGTCACACATGAAAATAAACAATGGTCTCACCTTTTGGTCTAAACTGTTATGCTGAAAGTTCAAAGTTGAAGAGAAGTTTTATAGAATCTAACCTTTGTCTAGTCTTAATTCACCAAAACCAAAAAAAGGCTCTTCAGATATGCAAGTCATCAAAAAGAGCCATCTTGTTTGTGAATGTGTGTTATTACCTTTGTCTTCTGAGCCACATTCTCTGCTTTATGGAAGCAGGCCAAGAGGGAGAAAAGGAGACCCACAAAAAAGTTGTTGAGAGAGAACACCTCAGCCACTGTTGACCACTGCCATACCAGTTTGGATAGGGCAAAAAGGCCTCCTGCCAGGACAGCTCCCGGACCAGGCCCAGCCAACCTAAGGAAAAAAGAACAACCACAACACTAAGGGGTGCTTACCTGAGTCACTGCACGCACAGGCAACTTTCTCTCTCTGGGATTACTGCTGAGCTTCTGTTTCACTGCAGCTAATAAACAAAAGCTACACATCCTTAATCCCCCAACCCGGTATGGATTATAGTCTCTGACTTCTACTGTACATGACAGTAATGAAGAGAGGTTACTTTGGTGCCACTGTTACTGCTATAAGCAGAAATAAATACTGATGTAATACTTACCACCACCCCTTTGTGAAATACATAGGTCGTACAAATCATGCTCAAACAGTTCAATCAAAAATGCTAATGTTTCTAACAATGAATGAAAGTGAATTGCCATCCATTAGCATTATGTAAATAAAGTCATACTAATTAGCTACTAGCTTTCATTTGTGGTTAGCCATATTTGTATGTTTGATTTAGCTATTTCTTAAGGGGACAGAAATACAGGACACCACAAAAGCATACTGGATGCTACATGAAGGTCTGACATTATGGCAATTAAATATTCAATTTAAATCTGTTTGCAGTAATGAGTGGCCATATGGTGGGGGTTTGCAGAGAGCAGCCTGGTTGGGCAGCTGGTGGCCACTCTAGGGGTTTGGCCCTGACCAAAAGGCCACAATATTAACTGCAACTGAATAGCTCTGCACTGCCGTTCTACCGGAAGTTTCACTTACAGTCAGCCATACTGGTAGTTTATATAAGGTTTTCACTTTGTTACATATGATTATAGAACACACTGTATGTCAAACTGTTTCTCTACAGAGTGAATGAACTGCTTAATTTAACACTGGTGGCATTTACATTTATTAAGCCTGCAAAATACAATCATTGTTAGTCATTATCACAATATTATCATAATATTGCATCCCTGTAACCCACAAAAACACTCGTGTGGCGGGTTTTGTAATGAATGCATGCACATGTCCAACAAACATAACTACTTTAAATATTATTAAAAAAAAGTGCAGATTCTGTAACAAATGTCACATTAAGAGTTTACTAATGTGTTTTAATATATTGTAACGCATATCATAATCTCAACATGTAGCAGTATAATCACAACTCTAGTCCACATCATGCAGCCTTCATATGTATAACGTTTATTGTATAACAAAAATAGGCCAAATTTATGCCAACTGGTTATGAAAACATTTGACTCAAACTCTGCAGACATCCATCAACTCCCCTTTACTCCTCTTCTTCTACAGCTGAAAACCAGACCCATATAATACCAGTAAACATAGGCTACCCTTTACTATTTAAAAAGGCATAAACACGAAAGAGCAGCCCCCCCCCACCCCATCCCACAGCCCCACCACTATCCCCATCTCTTTAACGGTAATTGTGGCAAACTTGGGATAAGCTGTCATGTGCTAAGACCCACCGCTTATTAGAAAGACACACAGGGTGAGACACAGAAAGGGAGCACACGCGGCAAAGGGGAGGCTAAGAAAAAAAAACAGGGTACAAATCTGAATGTGTGCAGAGAGGAGAGGAAGCCAGGAGAGAGAGGGAGGGGAGCAGAATCTATATGAGACCGGAGTGGATATAAATGAAGGGATGGGTTAAAAAAAAGTTGAGAACGATGCTTGGAGAGAGCTGGAGAGAGCTAGGAGGGGAAAAAAAAACTCAGCCCAGTCTAGCAGCACACTGGCTTGGAAAATTTTTGCGGGCTTGACAATTAAAGGGGGGGTAGTGGGGGGGTGTAGTCAGGCAGTATGGCCCTCTCCTCATTGTAGCGAGTGGCTTAGAGTCCTCATCAGCCTATCAGCTAAGTGACAGGCGGAGAGCTGCTCTATTCAGCGGCGCAGATACACGCCGCGGGCCAAGCGGCTGCCAGGTCCCTCCTGACCCCGCAATCCCTCGCCGCTGACAGCTTCAAGCTCCATGGCAAATTAGGCGCTCTCACATTACAATCGCACAAGACAGATTCCATTAACGGTATCTGAAATTGAGTAGAGAGCAGGGCCCCCGCCTTATCAGACCTGACTCATAAGCAGCGGCGGCGCTGCTGCAGCGCGCCGGCGCTTAATCACCAGCCATGATACCATTTAGACGTTTCCAGCGCCCGTTCTGCCTGCCGCTGTGATAGTCGGCCACAAAAGGGCCTGATGAGACTTAGGGGAAGGGGAACAATGGAGCTTTCGCAGGGAAAGCAAAGTAAGTCGGGAAAAAAAAGCAGAGAGGAGAGGAGGCTGAGGATGAAAAAAAGGGGGGGGGGTGGTGGAACTCTCATGCTCACTGACTACTTCACTGCTTCCTTCCTTACCCCCCCCCCACCACCACCTTCCTTATTTTCACACTCCTTGCCTTCTTCTTTTTTCTTTTTTCATCTCAGATGATACGGAGCATTTTGAGTGTATGCAAGTGTGAGCGTGTGCGGTTGAGCTAATGGGTTGTCACAGAGTACTGGGGGTGTATGTGGTGATATCAGCCACTTTTTACCCCTCCTTACTGTGCAGGCAGAGGGAGGAGGAGGAGGAGGAATGGAAGTAAAGAAGAAGTGCTTTGGTGAAGGTGCAGGACCCCCCGCGCCCTCAATTCAACCCCCCTGTGTGCCAATTAACCCCCAGCACACAGGAGGGAGGGAGGGCTGGTAGGGGGGCTGGAGCAGGGGGTGCCATCCGGAGGCAGGGGTCCTCAGTGTGAAATAATATCACGTTCAGCCCGACTTAGTCCCCCCCACCACATCAGCAAGTGAGGCTGACAGGAACACTCAGCCACATTCACTTTTTCCTCTTTGAATCTCTATCCCTCCGAAAACGCTTGACATCTCTCTATTTCTAAGTGTCACTTCGTCTGAGGGAAGGTGTCTGACAGGCTGCGTGTTACACATCTCACGTTTCTGCACGTGCAAGACCACCCGGGCCTCTCCTTCTCCTTCTCCTTCTCCCTCTCTCTGATTTTCACTCTCTCTGATTTTCTCCCTCTCGCCACTCTGTGATAAGGGAGAGTGAGTGACACTGGAGTGCAGCATCAGAGGCATGCTTGCTCTTATCTGTCTGTGTTGTGCAGAATGCTGCAGTGTGTGTGTGTGTGTGTGTGTGTGTGTGTGTGTGTGTGTGTGTGTTTGTGTGTCTGTGTGTATGTATAGTCTCTGTAGCTCTGAAACACTCACTCATGGAGACAGAGGTAGCTATGCATGCGTGAATTTATAGACCTAACATCAATATTAGCGTTAAGTAATGTTGCACAAACAGCAAACTGTATTTGTCTTAGGACTCTATAATGGTATCATATTAAATTTAATGCAAAGTTTAAAATATTAAAAAAAAGACTCCCCTCACAGACTACAGATGATTCAAGTCACAAAATAAATCTTACATTTTCATTAGACATTGTCACTTAAAAAGTGTCAGACTAAGCAATCTGCTTGTCTAGTAAACATCATTTAGCTTTCAGCTTTCTAAAGCAAGGATAAATGGCAAGCATATCTGCAGCACTGTTTTGCCAGGTTGCATGATAAAAAATATGTTACAATTCATGAAATACACCCTGACAGTGATTCACAGAATATTTGAAGTTAATTACCTTATTTAGCAGCTGCATGTATATGTTGGGGCTGTCAAACAATTTAAAAAAATATATTGTGATTAACTGTATTATTCTCTGTAGTTAATCACAATTATTTGTGTTCATCTTCTTTGCTCAAATTTTACCTTAAATAAAGTTTTTTTCTGTTTAAAACCAGTGCAAATCACGCAATTTCCACAGGGTGAACTTAAGGTTCCATATTTAATAACCAACGTTTAGTGGGAGCAACTGTGCATTCTTGTTTCAACCTATGAGGGTTTATAGCACATATACAGTCAGTGGTTTCGTCTCCTCCACGTTTATAGAGCTTCACTCTCATACCAAATCTCCATCTTGTTTCAAGGGGAACTGGAGCTTTCCAGTACAGCTTATTACTGTTGCTTCTGTTAGTTTTCTGCTCAGACTGCTGGATTTATTCATAGTTCTCCTACAAGCACTGCCCAGCCTAAGCTGCTGAAGGTGTCTGCCAGTGCAAACATAACTTGTTTAATCATGACAGCCATTATTAGTGCTTCTTGCCAATTAAATATGAGAAGACTACAGTAGCACAGTCACAGAAACAAAGTGTGAGCAGCTGGGCTTCAGGCTGAAACTACAGATGTTATGTAAAGATCAAACTAGGAAAATGCATTGACGGCATTAAAAAAAAATGAATGCTGTGTATATAATATACAATATAATAATAATTTAGCACAGTGATATAAATTGTTATGTGTAACTTTTGACATCACGCTCATATCAAGTACATATTTGTTTTGTTGTAGAAATGACGATAAAAACCTGACATTAGAAAAAAGCTCAAATAAAAATGTCAGACATTTTTGCAGAGACCATAAAACGTAGACCATAAATTGTAAAATTGAGAAAACCCACCATGGGTTGACAGCATTTCTGCCTAATTGAAAAATTATAAAAATTCCTAAACAAAGACCAGTCATTTTGATAGTCTGTGTTTATAAGCATGCTATTGCCACAATTTAGGTTTTTATTTTCTGAAATGTAACGATGCATATTAAAAAAAAAGTTTCACCACGAGTGGCTCTAAAACACAGTTTTTGTTTCAAAAACCAATATTAAGCCTTTATGGAACCTGTTTTGTAAAACCACTAAACCATAACTATGCAGTGCTTATGAGCAGACCTGAAAGCAGACAGAAAGGCTGAAACACTCCGCCTACAGGACAGTACAGGACATTCTGCACAGCGTGTGCTAAAAACTAATCACTCCCCAAACAATAAATACAGCCACCGACACATTTTCCACCCAGAATGCCATCTTTAATCCCCTAACTACTCCCACCATGTGAACAAACACACTCATAATAGAAAATCAAAATGTGTATGTCATTCAGCAATTTTTTCCACCACCATTACTTCAACAAAGTCATTAGCCATCAGTGGTCCTGTATTATGAGCAGCCCTATAGACTGTATTAATTCGGG